TGCTTCCAATAGTATAAAATTTGATTGGAAGCTTCCAATCCAAATGAATTTATTAGAGAATTATGCTTCCAACCCTTTCAAAGGTACTTCCAAGAGTGCTTCCAATCTTCCAAGTGCACATCACTGCTGTAGGAGATAGTTTTTTAACGCCCGTTACTTCATTGTTTCGAAGTATAATATCTACATGCTCAGTGTTATCATCGTACGGAATATTTACTTTCCATGTAATATCTTTCGTTTTTGTATTACCGGGAACGTTTATTTTTTCCATGATGTTCTCTTTTAGATGTGCGATGGTAATTGTGTTGTTAGTACTAGGGAACGGTTTCGGAAACCATTGTTAAGTTCGGAGCACAAGTGTAACGAAAGGGACCAACCACGTATCGACTCAAATTTTGAGCAGGCGGGCAACGGGACACCTCGTGTAACATGTGGCTAGTATTCCGGACTAATCAACGTCGACTGGAAAGATGGATGTGAGAACATCTCCATATACAAAGCACCAAAGTGTCTTACCATCATTTTTTGACGGCTTTGGCTTCATTGACATTTTTGGAGACTTTAGCTTCATTGTAATCCTGTTCGTTACTTCGAATCAATAAAGTAACTTGAGCATTAGTTTAGTTACACCATTTCCTTTTGAAGTATATGATTCTGCCTTTCGCATCTTGGAAGTCCTACTACTATTTGTTGCTTCTTCAATAAATTTGTCATTTTCTTTATTGGAATTTTTAAATGTTTCGGCTAGGTTCCTCCTCCAGAATTAAAAGACCTTTATTAACAACAAATTTAGGACGCCTAATTTGAGGATCTGGAGTGGGTACCAGATTGTCAAACCAGTAATTCTCCTTGAGTTAATCGCAATCAACCAGAAGTTGCCCCTCATTTGCAAAATAAATAACGGACCTTTTTTTTTAACTCATTGTAAGTGGTTTTATCCAAGATATTTTCCGATTCTTTTAAAAAATGCACATCACTGTCCTACAGTAAAGATCAACAATGTCTTTATTAATTGTTCTGGATGACCGCATCCACATTACCCATTGCTACAGGTGAGCCGAAAATATTCAACACCAGTGAATACAACATGATTTAATATCTTGCTCATCCCTTTCATTTCGATGTTTTTTACCCTGCTAGTCAAAGAAAAAAAAATCTGTTATATGGGAGGATTTCTAGGAAAATCAGGTTCCGAGAAAAAATTTGACTATAATTAAGAGCTTAATGCATTTGAATCTAATAACATCAAAAACTAAAATGCAATAAAAATCTCAATATTGTTAAAAAATTCCCGGAACCTGATTAAATATGCCAAACTTACCCCAAATCCTGTAGAATTTATTGGATTATTACCAAAGAATGGTATAAAACCCTATAAATGGAATGTTTCTGCCGAAAATAACTCAAAACAACGGGAACTGATTATCCGATACCTTAATCAACATCTGAAACCAAGCCTTCCAACAAACATTGTTATTTACGATGTTGCTAATAACAAGAGTTTACTTGATACACCGGTAACTGAAAATTCACCGTTTCCATTTAAGTTGCAAGATGGAATATAAGTTGATGTCAAAAGCAATAATTACACTTTTAACCAGTCAGTAATTAATTTTCAAGGTGAAAAAATGGAGCGTTCTGCTCTTTACGACAAACCAATTTAAGAAATTATGCTAATGGAAAGACATCATTCGAGGGAAGCAGGATTGTATTGATAATGGAAACGCGGAGGGTGGTGACACAGGTGACAAATATGGGTGAAAATTTTTATGGCGATACTGGGTAAGATTAGTGTTGGAATTTGTGTTACCATAGAATTAAAAAGAGTAGTACAGCAACAACATACTACGGCAGGCTATTTCAGAAATGGTTGCAGCAGATTTTTTGATAAGACTAGGGTGGCTTTGATTTTGTGATGCGCAGAAGTTGCCAACACCGTCGTGCTTTCTTTTGTTTGTGCTGATTAATTTTTTTTGTGTTATAAAAAGTGTATTAATTTTTAAATGTTATATGCTTAATAATAAAAACAAAAGAAATTATTATAACTTAATATATAATATTTGCGTACAATTTTTTACAATTTTTTACACATATTCTCATAATATAATATGCATTTTCTGTACACATGTTTTAAGTTTTAAAATTATACACTGCTTAAAAATAATGATCAGTTTAAATTGATCGGTTGAGTTTTATTCGTTGTGAATGTAAAGTCTGTGATAAAATTTTGTTTTAAATTAATGTTATTATGGGGGAGATATTCGTGGGTTCTTTGAGTGTATGGTAGGTTGGTGGTTTTTCATACAGGTAATGGGCTGGTTGTTATTTTTTCAAGGTGGTTTTATTCTACGATCATGTCTGGGTTGGTCATGTTGATACATTTTGTAAGGTGAGTCTTGTGTCTTATGGATGGTTAGGGCGTAGCAGTTTTGAAGTGAGAATTGTTAGCAGCTCGCTGAATTTCCGTTGATGTTGAAGTAGTTTATGTTTGTTTCGATTAGGTTGATGATCCACCTATTACGTTGAATGATACTCAGACTAAGTTTGTGCTGAGTTCCATTTTGGAATTATTCAGGTATATTACTTTTGCGTCTTGCTGGAGTCTAACTGATGTGGATAGGTTGTTGGTATCCCATTTTTCGCCGTTTATGGTGTCAATAACGTTGGATATTAAGAAGTTTTCATTAGTTATTAGGAGGATGTTACATATTAGGCGGTGGCTGTTTTACGATAACCTACTATGTTTATTGTGTTAAGGAGGATGTCGATCAGTTTATTGGGATTGTATTTGTAATTTGTTTCAGATTTGAAGTGTGAAAAATTTCTGATTGGTCTTATTGGCGGTGAGATTGATGTAGGACGAGGGGGTAAAAATATTTTTCAAACTGATGTTTTAAATACTTTTGAGCTTGTGACCGGTGGGAGTTGTGCTGAGTCACTGATTAGAACAGGTTTTATGCTTTCGAGTGCTATAGAGTTATTGTAGATGGTAATGAATGTATTGGATCAAATCTAACATAGACTTATCAATTATCTGTATTACTAAACAGTATTTATAATTATGATATAAAATATTATATTTTATATAATTTATATAATTTATAATATTGTAGGCAATTTCTATTTATATACGGGGTGTTTGGATACAGATCATGTGATACAGGCAACATTAATATTACTTTTACCAGTATTAAGAAATCAAAAAGTTACCCATGTGATGATCATATAACGAATAAAGAGAAGAGGTGTAACGCTGGTGACAAAATATTGGTTATGTGATTTGTGAGAAATTTTCTATTTTATAATTTGATTTAACTGATAATATTTTTATATAATATGGAAGTGTAATCAGGTTCCGAGAAATTTTTGACTAAAATTAATATCCAATTATATAATAAAATTTTAAGCTTAGAAATTTTATTAGTAATTTGTATATAATTAAATAATTCTAAACTTTTGAGTAAGTAGTATATAAATATTTTTTGATAAATTATATTAATACTTTATTATTAAATAAAAATTTCTAAGTTTACATAGAATGTATATATTATGTGTTAGATGTCAATTTGAGTCAATTGACAGTTGACATGCATCAGATGACTAATGTTAGCCAAACCTTCTTAAGGTATTATAAGCTCAGCCCAAAATAGGCCTGTAATTTAGACCAGTCAGTATTTGATGCAAAATTATAGTTAACGCATAACATATATACTCATGTTATATGATATATTTATTACTGGTATCATATCTTTTTATCTTTAGTTTTTATTATTTATTTCAGAAACTTATCATTTTTTTCAGTAAATTTCTTAATTTCTTCAGATTAGTAAAAATAATATTAATATTAATTATATTATGTGACTTATATACAATATTTCTATATACAAATAAAAATTGCTTATTAAATATTATCCTTAAATAATAAATATAAAAATTATTTATAAACCATTTTATAATTAATTATATTGACATCTAATAATTATAAAAAGATAAAATAAAGTTATTAGATTTATTATATTATAAAGTATTTAATAATAGAATATTAAAATTTTATAATTAATATTATTAATATATATTAATTTTTAATTTTTACTTTTTAAAATAACTTATTAGTTAATAATCATAAGATTATAAAATATAGTTTATTAGATTTATCATATTAAAACCTATTAAATAATATTTTTTATATTTCTAAAATTAATAAATTGTAAAATATATATATTTAAAAATTTAATTTTTTTAATAATAATTTATTATATATTTATCTTTAAAAAATTACTAGTTAATTACATTTTTTAATTTTTATTTAGAAAACATTATAAAATTTATCATAAAAATATTAATTTTTAATAAATTATTTTAAAAATATATAAAATATTTAATTTATTAAATAAAATTACAGGTAAATTGATCTTTAATACTATTAAAAAGATAAATAATAATATATATTAAATATATAAAGATTTAAAAAATAACTCACTTAGGTTCACGTTTTATCATATAATATAAAATTTATAAAAATACTTTAAAAGTTAAAATTTTTTAACTTGTAATTATCTTAATGTAATGTATTATTATATATTTTTTTAATATTAATTACCTCTTAAATTAAATATTTCTATTTTATATGATTTAAGTATAAATTAAAAATAAGCATTTTTCAACTATTTTAATTTTATTATATTATTAAAAAAATTAAAAAATTATATTATTGATTAAATATCTTTATAAATAAAAAAATTTTAATTTTAATTTAAATCAATAATTTCTATTTTTCCTTTATATCTTTATTTATTTTATCTTAAATTTCATCAATTTCTTTATAAATTTTATTATTTTTTTATTTATCTAAATATTTGATATATTATTTTTTTAAAGAAAACAAATAATAATTTTTCTAGAAATATTTTTAGAATAACATTTAACCTATTTATATATATTATTTATTTTATATATTAAAGATTTTCAGAAATTATATATTTAAAATCACTATTAGTTATTTAAAAATATTATATTTTATAGATTATCTTTAAAAGATTATTAATTATAACATTAAGTAATTGACAAATACTTGTTAAATTATTTATAATCACTACTAGATTAATATAATTTTTGTTTAATTGATTCTTCTAAATATCCTTTAAAAGAATCATATACCATTATAGCTAGAAATTAGAATTTACTATTTAACATTCTTATTTAATAAAATAATTAATATAATACTTCATTTAATTAACATTTATCTATCTATTTTTTAAAATTATATAATTATATTAAAAAAAGTTTTTATTACATGATATTTACTTTTTTTTAAAAATACAATTTGATAATAATTTAATTCTATTTATAAAAATTTAATAAAGATTTTAAAATATTTTTTTATAATCAAACAAATTAAATTTTTTTTGTATCAAATAAATCAGAAATTTTTATTTGTTACATACAGTCAACCCTCTCTACAATCACACCTTATATAATCACACTCTCTTTATAAGCACACTATATTTTAGTTCTGAT